TATTCACGGTTTGAGTGTACTTGACAATTGATTAATAGAATTGTGTGCATTCATTGAAACGTGTTCTTTGATTCATCTAATTATTTGTTTGTTTCGTATTGTTGTTTGGTTAAGATTCCGCATTAACTCAAACAATTGCATTGATACTTAGAGTAGATCCGAGTTTTGGGACTTACAAGTGGTATCAGAGCCTTAAAATTCGACTTAAGGTTGTTTGGTATCAATTGCTTTTCGAAACACTTGTTAGTTTGAGGTGTTTTTGAGTTGTATTGAAAAACAAAAAGGATTGAGCTGTTTTTCGTGTTCATCATTTTCTTGGTGATTCTTCACTGATTTTGGAAGATATTTCGTTGGAAATCATTTTTGATTTCTTACCAAATTTTCGGGATTCATTGGATAAGGAACCTCAATCAAAATCCACGTTTTCGTTTGGATCTCAACGTTTTCGGCGGCTGAGTGACATTTTTGGTAAAAGGACTTGGGATTTCGGTTTGAATGAGTTTTCGGCCAAAACTCCTAGTTCTCAGCTAATTGTGTTCGGTCAATCATTTTGTCTTTAAAGGTTTTCGGTTAAACTATTTGACCTTCAAGGTTCTCCGTCAACAGGGTGTTTTCGGTCAGAAAAATTTTTAAATTTTGGTTTTCGGTCAAATTTTCTTTGATGAATAATGAGTTCTTCAATCACCAAGAAGATAAATGAAATCTCATGTTCTCAATCTTGTGAAGACAAAATAAATAAATACCGTGAACATAATGAATTATTGGTCAGGGAGGTTTTTGACCTCAAACAGGAAATATATGAAATTAAGAAAATAAATAAACTACTTAAGAAAAAACTAGAAGCTCAATCAAAAGATTTAAGCAAAATTAAAGAAGAGTACAACACCAAATGTGTTCACTATCGGTTTGCTAAGGAGAAAATTGCAAACTTGACTGCTGAACTTGATGCATTGAAGGCTAAATTTGACGATGCTGACTTTACATTTAACAAATTCGATGTATCAAGTGAGAAGGTTGAATCTATGATAGAGAAACAGTTAAAGTGGAAAGACAAACAGGGTGTAGGTCTAGGGTATCATAATGTTCCACCTCCTTTCAATGATAATTATACTCCACCTTTTGAAACCAAAGAAACAGAGACTCCGAGACAACATGGTCAGTCCCCTGTAACTGCCCCATCCAGCACAACTCAGAGTACTAATGTGAATGATTTTAATACTTCTACTTCATGTGCAGTTGAAGTAACTGTGCAAGATGGGTTCGAGCAGAACAAGAGTAACTCTAGTTCTGGTGACAGAGCTTTGAAAGCTTGTGATGAAAATGATCTCACTATAGAAAAATCCAAGGCACAAAAGTTTGTTAAAAAGGATAATAAATGTGCTTGTGATTGTGGAAGGTCTTTGAAACAATAGTCATTTGGACAAGGACCAAGTCACAATTTTATTTACCTGAAAAGACAAACTTGTTTCAACTGTGGGACTCCCAGTCATATTGCTAGAAATTGCCCACATCGTCCATATGTCCGTTACTATAAACAATATTGGCAGAACGGGCCTAGGGGGAGATCTTCCACAAGAAATTTTTCAAGGTCATGTTCAAGCAGTGGTGATTGGAATGCTAAAAAGGCAAAAAAGGGCATGTCGGAAAAGAAGACTAATTTGAGAAATAGTTCGGTCGGACCAAGATCGGTGAGGTCTAAGTCATCTCAACAGTCGGTCTCAAGCTCTAAATCAAGTGTTGAAACATCCATCCGACTAAACAAGAAAATGGTTAAACCCGACTACAAATGGGTACCAAAGGTTTCAATTTCCAAATCATCTAAAAATTCTAATGTCTCTTCATTTTTTGTGTTTGATAAACAGGATATGACTTGGGAAAGAGTATCATGTGTTGATGGTACAGGTCAACCCAGTTTCAAAATGGACTGGGTTCCCAAGACCAATTAATTCCGCACTCTGTGTCGGAGCAGCTATGGTGGAATATCATCAGACTTCGGTATGTTGATAATGGTTGTTCCTGGCACATGACAAGGGACATCTCTCTTTTGCATGTTATTCAAAATATTAATGGAAAGCATGTGTCCTTTGCAAAATTGGAAAAGAAAAGATTACAAATGGGGATTTCTTCAATTGTTGACTTATGGTTTGAATTTTCTGACTCTTCTCTTCTATGTGCTTATAGTGCTGATTTTCATTTGCCCAAAAACCTATTTTTCAAAATTCAAGCTCGTGCTTGTGGGATTTCTTAAGATAATACGTTTCGAAAACTAAAATTTCTTTTCAATTTTATTTAATATTTCTTATTTTCTTCCATTTTGTTCAAGTAAAGGAATTTTGTGTCAATCTTTTGGGAAGTGATATGAAGTTTAAGTGTTAAAAGGCAATCTGAAATACGTGTAATGCACTGAAACTAAACTGTTTAGACTCTGTATTCAATGTGCTGGTAGGCATGAAGGATTCAAAATGAAAGGACTAAACATTGTTGACAAATGAAAGAACTTGATAGTGTTAACATATCTGGACTTAGATAGTTACATTTTGACTGACCATACGACGCTTGGATAGATTGAGCAGTGAGATAAACAGGGGAGCCTGCGAGATACATTAAAGTTACTTATCATCTAGAACTGTGGCTCAACACTTTTTCGACGTATGGACTTATGTCCTTAATTCTGGTGTTGATAGGGTGACTGGGGGGTTCTGATCAAGTAGGTCGGTGTGAAATTGTTTTTCTTTCTTATCCTCTATGTCAGTCATATGTTTCCCCTTTGCGTGATTGGAAGAAATCCGACCCGGAACGCAACATATGCATCTCTATTTCTATGCATCTCTCTCTCTCTATGCATCTTTCTATCTATCTATGTCAGTCATATGTTGTCCCCTCTGCGTGATCAGAAGATCCGACTTGGGACGCAGCATATGCACCTTTCTATCTCTCTATCCCTCCATATATATTAGTCATATGTTGTCCCTCTGCGTGATTGGAAGAGATACGACCTGGGATACAACATATGCATCTCTATATCTATCTTCTCTCTCAAATAATTGAACACTCACCTAAAGTAAAGAGCTCTTTGGAATTCCTTGATTACCAGGGTATGTCGTGAAGTGCAGAACACGTTCTAGCGCGCTTAAAATTGAATTGGTTCATGACTAAGGGTTGACTGTAGATCTCACTGTTGAATTTAAGTGGACAACAATATCCTAGGTCGTCGTTAGCAAAATGGTCTATTTAGGAATATGATTGCAAGGTCTTGTCACTTATAATCTGTCTAACTTGCAAATATCCTTTGTGTTTAAGTGTACCACAATATTGGTGATTGACCAGAGCTATTCATGCAGGTATGTGCTGATAAACGATATTAAATTGCTTGACAACTTTTTATCCCAAAAGTTTTAAATTTAGTTATTAAAATGTGTTTATTTTATTTTTTACTTTTGCTTTTGTTAAATTTGTTCATATTTTTCCTCTATGCACAAATTTAGGGGGAGAAATAATAAAAAATTAAAAAATTAAAAAATTAAAAATTAATTTAAAAAACATAATAAAAATTAACAATGATTTAAAAATTCTTTTGTGGTGTGTTTATTTTTTATTTAGTTATTTAATTTATTTTTTAAATGTAAAATCGAAAAGAAACCCCATTAATTAAAATTTGGGCCGAAATCATTATGGTGGGCCATCTAGGCCGTTCTCGGGGTATATATATGCCCTCTTCAAAGCTGATTAGGGTTTTCCGCTACAATCCTCAATCCTCCATTGTTAGTCTCTCTCAAGCTTTTTCTATTTTCTAAAAAAAAATCTACCTATTTTCGGTGTTTATGTTGAAATTTCTTCGGTGAATCAGGTAAATATGAGGTTTTCGATCATGGCAATAATGTTTAAAGTGTTTTTAGTGTACATGCTTCCATGGATTTGCAGGTTTCGAGGGGTGTGTTCGAAAGTTAACAAAATTCTGATTTAGAACAGGTTTTAAGGGTTTTCGGTCCACTTCGATTTGACCGAAATCGTTTCAGATCCGACCAAAATCGGGGTTCTCGGCCGAAAACGTGTGGTCAAATGTCTTTTGACCGAAATCGAAGTGTTTTGACCGAATTTAATAGAAACCTTAACTTTGACCGAAATCGAACTGTTTTGACCGAAATCAATAGAAACCTTGACTTCAACCAAAATCGCCTGAAGTTTTGCCTTTGACCGAAATCGATTAAATCTTTGACTTCAACCGAAATCAAATTATAATCTTAATTTAAGTTAATTATTTTTTTTAATCAACTCTAACTTGGCTAGTTTGGTTCAGATAAATGGCATAGCAGATTAAATTTGTAGACTCCCACAATGTTGTTGGATATCTTATGGATCCACCTGCTGCTCATCAAGAATTCAAATACATGATGGTGGGTTTAAACAACTGTAGGATTTCTCATGCCGTCCGTGCTAATCCAGTCATCCACAAAGTATTAATTACTGAGTTCTAGAAAAATGCATCAATCAACAAACATGGAGCAGATGGAGTTGTTTCTATTGAATCAATTGTGAAGGGAACTCAAGTAATTGTTTCTGAGCAAGTTATCAGAGAAGTACTTGAATTTGGTGATGCATCTGCATTTCCAATTAAGTTTTCTGGTGATCAAGTGAAGGAGGTCCTTGATAAGATGTGTTATGAAGGAATATATCCTCCTATCATCAAAAAGTTGTTGCCACCTTACTGGAGGTTTCTGGCACATTACTTTGTGAGTTGCATTTCTAGAAGGAAGGGAGGATCTGATGAAATTAGTCAGACTACAACCTCAACTATTGTCGCTTTAGAAATGAACTGGGATTACAATTTTTCAAAGTTTTGTTTTGAAGAAATGAAGAGCAACCTTCAAGGGAAGAAGAAGGATCTATTATTGATGTATCCTAGGTTTCTTCAAATGATCCTGAATGAAAAATATCCCCAAATTGAGAGGTCGTCTGATACTTTGGACATGAAAGCTTTGGATCCCAACACATTTGGGCTCATGAAGCAATCAAGAAAATCTGCCAAAGTCATCTTTCAAGGATTGAAGGAGTTGGTTAAGTTTGGAAAGTTTACTGAAGTTGAAGATATTGTTGCTGCTAGTTCCATTAATGTTGAGATTGCCGAGGAACACGTGGCACCTCAATCAAAATTTCAATTTTCATTTGAAGAGGTTGAAATATCTGATGACGAAGAAGAAAAGGTTCAAGAAAAGGATATGACTGAGAATGAACTTGAAGATTTTCTACAAAGTTTCTCAATCCCTGAAGAGCATGTGGTTGTCACACTTTCTGTTGTGACTGAAAGAGATCATGACTCAACTGTACAGTCTTATACACCTACTTCTGAACAGGTGGATGCTCTTATTGCTGAACTTCAACGAACTGCGAGGAAGCCTACCCAAACAGTTCCTGTTACAACTAAACCTCCATCTGAGAGTGATCAAGAAGATTTATCTCACGTTCTACTCCCGAAGAAAAGAAAAAGAAGAGATCCAAGACCTGGAGTGCTTATCACAGACCTTGTTCAAACTGCTTCTACTCCGATTGAATCTAGTTTTGTGGCCTATAATATTGAAAGCACTATCACTGAGTCCTCTCCAGTGATACAAGAGATTTCAAGCACGTTACATGGATCCACTTCTATGGATCAGGATTTTGAATGCCCTATTGTTGAACAAGAAGTTTTACCTTCAGTTGGGATTCAAGCTTCTGGAAGCTCTTTTGAAGCCCCTGAGCTACATATTTCAAAATGAAAAAGCAAGCTGTCTGAGTCTGAATTTGTGGATGTTGCCCTGCTTCAGAACAGAGTTTTTGATTTAGAACAGAGCTCAGCTAAAAAGGATTTGATTATTGGAAAGCAGGAAATTAGAATAAGTGATCTTGAAAAGGAGAACTCCATTAAAGATGCGAAGATTTCAGAACTTGCAAATCTTGGTGGTTTAAATGTCTTATTCTTTGACCTGAAACAGCGTTTACATCAAAAGTTTGGTGATGATTTTCAACCTCTAAGCGTTGAAGGAGAAAAGCTTTCTACTTCTAGTTCTGGCCCAATCAATCCATCTTCTCAACCTACAAGTGAAAGAGTTGTAAGACCTACTCCGGATGCAATTCTTGATAGATTTTTATCTTCTGGTCCTTCTTCTGCTCATCATGAGAGAGAGAGAGTTCATTAATTGGGAGAATGATCATGATTAAGAAGTAGATTAATGACTGGGTGATAGATTATTAATTGAGGAATAGATTATGAATGAGAAATAGATTATCATTAAGTGGTTGGTTATGATAATACCATTAATTATATATATAATTTTGTTACCTAAGTGAGAAATAAGTTATAATTTGATTTATATGATTTATCTGATTATGTTTTAGTAACTGCTATTCATTAAGCCATGAGGCTTATGTTGTTATGATGATTTGTTTTGCAGATATATTATTGTGACGCCCAACTCAATCCTATACTTGAGGCCAATATGATCCTTGTGATAACTACTTGTATTCCAGAGTACTAATGTACACCAAAACTATTGTATACTTTTAAATGATAAAGGAATTTTTTAAGGTGTACTTAGTATGAAATCATGGGCGTTACATTTTTATTACCTACTTTTGAGTTATGTGTATTAAATGATCAATGTAGGTACATTAGCTTGATTCTTAACTTTTTATGATCATTAAATTGTTAGAACTAGAGATTTATCCAATCCTATGGTTCGGTAATTTTAATTGTTATAGAGTATAATAGTTATCAAATTTATGTTTGATTTATTGTTATGACCATTGATAAAAATCGTTAGATCATATTTTTCATACTTGAATTTAATTATATGGTTTTGTGTTCACTAATTTCATGTTCACTGAAATTAGATGTTCATTAATCATTAGAACTAGGAAATCCGACCAAGATAACTAGTCATAAAATTCGGTAACCAACTCATTAATCTATTCCAAGGTGACGAATCAAACATAGAAAACTAGGGGGATTAGAAGTCTTGTGGAAGTACTTCAAATATATTGTTTTAAAATCGCGTTCTTTGTTTTTTTGTTTGTTTAGTTGTTTGAATTTGATAATTTACGTTTTTTAGAACTTTCAAAATTAGATAAAACCCCAAATTAAAGTTATTTATTTTAGTTTAATTATTAGCAATTAATTTTTAGTTTAAAATTATATTCCCTGTGCTCGACCCCTTACTTACTCTACTACGCTACTACGCCACTAGGTACACTACCTATTGTGTTTTAGCTGGTAAAATTGGTTAGGGTTATAAATTTAAATCTAAGTGAGTTTAAAACACATCAATGACTATATTTACTATGATGTCTTCACATTCGAACAACTATCAAATGTCATGGTACTTATTGAGTATTCGCCATGTAAGCTTGTGTGGCTTAGGGATCTATATTTGAGGCAAGTTCACCATTTCAATCACAAGAATCTTTCATAAGGATCATTAATGATTGAATTTCAACAAAGATTTCTCTTATGAATCACTTTCATATACATAACTTTCTTTGCAATCTTACTAATTACAATATACTCCAAGTTTATTGTTAAATCCACTATAGTGTAGTACTTGGTACTCTTCCAAGCAAATACTTCACCATTCAGTAGAAGACACAAGTTCTGACTGCAAACAAAATTGTCTTTATTAGTGTGAAACTTAGAATCAATGTAACTTTTACAATGAACTCTTTCATGCTACAATAATATCCTTTGTCCTCCTAGGACGACGAAGGAATGTACTCGATATTAACTCATTAACTCTCACCAAGTTGATATGATCTAACATGTCATACTTGAGGCATATGAGTCATAAAGATCTGGTATGTTTCATGGCATACATGATCAATCCCACAAGCAAAAGCATGAGGGACACGATTCATATCTTCTAGCTCAATACTAAAACTATGACATTAGCTCAATTTCATGCCATACATTATGAACTATTTCGAGTTTCTTCGAGACTTCATGTAATTTGGCTTATTCTAATGAATTGCCTACATCTATCTCCATAGATCAACATATTTAGTATGTGTACAATTTCTCCCACTAATATTGTAACATACATGACTCATCTTTGTTGTTTTGAAATTCAAACTCTTTAAAATTCCTCATTCAAAAAAAGATCCCAGATACTTCCATTAGCATAACTCATCATCATTTCTCAAAATTCAAACTCTTTGAACTTTCTCATTTGAAACAAAGATTCTAAATGCCCCCACTGTCATTAACATATATATTTAGCTTACTTTCATTTCTCAAAGTTCAAACTCTTTGAACTTTCTCATTGAAACGAGAATCTCAATAACTCATAATGTCTTCGGCACACCTTATTATCTATCTTTGTCTCTTTGAATCCAAACTCTTTGAACTCTATCATTTAAGCAAAAATTCCATCTCATGAGATGCTTGTTCAGCTCATAAATGAACTTCATAAGCTTACACATTCTTCATAACCTACTTTGGTTTGACTATCTGTGAGTTCCCATCCACGTTTGTTATATTCTTGAAGATCCATTAACACTTACGGTTTTAAGGCCAAGTGTTTGATCAACTAAGTTTTCAAACATTCATAGACTGAATCTTGCTCTCCATGTCCTTATTTCATTTTTCAACCATATAGGATTCACCATGACTTCCGATAGTTGGCATACTTTGATTATTGTCTGCCAGTGACTCATATAACCTCAATCTATCGACTAGGTATATGATGTCCTCTATCAAGTCTATTAGGAAGAATTTAGAGGTATGTCAGTTTCCCTAATATCCCTTTTAATCTCGAATTAAATGTTTGGACCAACTTTAGGTTCTTTGTTGATTGACTCTTGAATCTTATCAAAGATCAATATGGTTCCCACTAACTCTTTTGGATATTAGCTTCCTTTCATGGAAGACTACCCTTTGAGCAAAAAACAATTTCTTCTCAAAAGTTTTGTAAAACAATTATCCAAAACACTTGATGTGATGTCCAACGAGACAACGGATCTCTAATCTAAGTCTTAGATTGTCAAGTGCTTCACAAAGAACGTAAACCTCATAATTGAAGAATTCCAAATGTACTTAGTGTGGGATGAACCCTTACTCAACATCTTAGAGAGTGTTTCAGAAACCTTCTAAATTTGTGTAAGACCAAGGACTCTTGTGACACTATTCATGGTACAATTCGTGAATTGTTTTGTTAAGCATAAATCGACTCATCAAGCAACAAATCAAACAATGACTTATTCCAATATCCAACAACACTTCTAGTGACAATGTTGGAGACAAATTATGAAACTTTTTCATAGTTCCTTTTATGATCGATTTGGTTTTGATTATGATGATCACTAATCTTATTGAATTTGAGTATCTTACCCTTTTTCCCAGTTGATTCTTAAATTTGGTTTTTATGAAAACTTTGAATGCCTAGAAGGTTACAGTCTCAATTTTTTATTGAGATAAACATGTTCACATGAATTCAGTCATACTATGTATCATGGTTTATCTAAATGGTCCATTAGTGTGAATTAATTCTAATAGATATTTTCACATCACCAAGTACCATATTAATCACTTATCTTGACAAACATGATTTGCGTTTACCACAAGACTAACAATCAAATGGTATCCAAGATCCAATCCAACTGGATACTTGGTAATGTATCTCATGTTCACATGTTTAAGATAACGACTCCACAAATACATTTTATGCAAACTTTTGGATGTATTCAAATTAGTATGTATTATGGATAATCTAAATGGTTCATTAGTCAAAACTAAATCTAACATATGTGCACACTATCATATAGTGCTTTTATCATCTATCTTGACAAATAGGAGTCGCATTAATCATAAGAATTATGGTCAAATGATTTACAAAATTCTATCCAACTGGATCTTTCACAATGCAATTCTTATTCAAGAATATGATTCCATAATATTACATTTCTTTCAAATATTTGAATCAACCTTTTGTTACTATACAAGTTTCACATATTTATGACTTTCTTTTTAGACACGTTGAAATGTTCTAAATAAGTCATAACAATATTATGAAATCTTGTACAAACAGTCATAAGACCATAGACTAAACTTTTAGGAGAACGAGATATCTCTTGATCCTATGAATAGTAGTAAAAGCTTGATATTCATGATCAACTTTTCTTCTCCTTGTTTTAGTCATATTACACCTTTACATTCATTGTATATTCTTGCGAATGTCAGTAATTTATCCTCTAGTAAAATAATCAAGGATTAGATTAATGTTCCAGTGGTATTATGAGTTATCATATCTACTTGTAGACAAAACATTCACAAGTTTTCTTTTGATCCTATTAATAGAATCATTGGTTTGTAACCCATGATTAAATTCATCTACTTCATGTCTTTGTCTTCTCTATCAAATAAATTGGGCTTTAATGCTTTCTTGGTCCTTTCTCTTAATTTTGGAAACGATAGTTTATCAGAACAAGTCTCATAATAAGCCTTCTTATTTTCCTTAGCGTTTGGGTCCCGATTAGGTATATCACCACAAATTGTATGGGCAGTTCGTTTTCTTTCTTTTTGACACTTCTATTCATGATAGTGAATGTGGGAGTATTTGAAGTTTGGAGTTTCTATGATTGGCTATGTTATTTCTAAAGGGTCTCTACATTCATTCTACTTCATAATGGACATTTCTCAGTTTGTTCATATCAAAATCAAATTAAATTGATTATATGTATATTGTCAACTAAGTTGATACCCATAGTCAACTCCTATCTAAATGAAATTTCATTTCACTTCAATATGTTAATACGATAACTGTTCTTAATAATTTGGGAATGTAGTGTTCAGAGAAACCTCAGGAAGAGCTTCATCTAAGGCATGATATTTTTATTCATAAATGAGAATTATTCCAAAATACAAAGTTGATCATCCTTCCAAGTAATCGTTGTTAGAGGTTCAATAGTAATAGATTTTAGTCAATTATTTTATACACGTCATTCATTTTTAATTCCATTCTTATTTGTTTTATTAGATCCTTTAAATAATTCCTTCAACCCAAATTTATTATTTACTAAGGCTAGGATCCATATTTGGTTTTGTCATGTGTAGAGGGATGCCGTAAACACACCAGTAAGTTATTTAGGTAGGTGATGCACTTTACCATTCTCAATCATTATGAAACTCCTAGATCTTTTGAGATTCATT